CGGCGCCCTGTCTCTAGACTATCGAAGGTATGGTGGTAGCTGACCTCACTTTCACTTTTGTAAGGCCCGGATCCTCCCATCGCCTTCTAAAATGATTTCTTCATTTACTTGTTAATATTAGAGTGTCTCAAACTTTTCTACAGTTTTTACTAAAACCGTCGTCTTTTTGTATACTTCTTTCAGTTAACGTGGTCTGAGTAATCATTTCACAGGGCAAAGCAAGTTCCACAAGATGGCTATAAATCCGCCCAAATCGTAATCCACGCAAAGTTTTGAGCTGACATCCAATAGCAGAAACGAACTTTACCGTCACAAATCGTATCTCCTTCCCAGAAAATCATGAAAATATTCCATTCATCCCACATGCTTGACACATCGAACATTCAGTTATACACTTTTCTATTTTTTCATAGCTAGAAATAAAGACAAATTGAAATGAGTAGTGGTAAACTCCTGCCCTAGATGTCTTGAGCTCCTCTTACGCACGTGATCATATAGCTCGGACATACAGAAGTACAATCATGTTGTGCCATTTGTAAGCTTTCCAAATCTCGAAAAATGCTGATTTTTGATGTAAAGACGGCAAAAAAAATTATGAGATACCCTGAAAATTTCCTAGAAAAGAATGGCTCGCGTTGTACATTTTTAAGATATTGCTCTTAGACCAAACAATACTACAATTTTGAGGTTAAGGCAATGGAAATACACTTACTGTTCAAACATAATAACTCTTTTGCTTTCGAAGTTTGTGCGGAACCTTGAGTTGCAAACTGTAGAGCTAGTCACTGTATATTCACAGTGCAAACTCAACCACCAGCCTCTGTTCATTATTGTAGGATTGAGACATAAAAACTTGAAAAAGTTTTCTGCCAGTGAGAAAAAAAGTCTTCAGATACAAAAACGCTACGAAGCTGAAGACACCAGCAACGTTAGTTGTATGTCTTGCATATTCTACCGTAACTCTACTTTAGACCACTCTAAGTTTACCATAATTGCTATGTTCTTGATATTCTCAAGAACTTGAATGCTACATTCTGACACTTTTGCTGAATCTCACAGATAAACTTCTTTTTGGCGTGCTCTCAAGTTCTGGATAAACAGCGCTGACTTTTAGCATTTATGGAAAGCATTGCTTGCTATTTCGCACTAAATTTTAAGCGGTCTGAAACGCGTGCTCCAGAAGATGTGAGACAATTTCGATCTTAATTACCTATCTGCCACCGTGCACGCCTTCCGCGGGCGTGTAAGGGCTCGTGTGGAGGCCAAAGGGGTTTCCTGAAATCTGAATACAACCTGATTTTCAAGGTTTGTCACAAACTACATGCCAAATCTCAAGTATCTACGTTGCTTTGTAGAGCTTCAGCTGAAGACTATGAAGACTTTTGCGACAACTGCAGACTTTTTCTGTTTGGGCCGATTGGCCCAATAGCTTGCAAACATATATTTTGCCCCGAAAGAAAACTATAAGCCACTACAAGCTACTTTTCGCGACAACATTTTGAATCTTTTTATCGAATTACTGATGCGTTTACTTACAAATTGGAAGCTAGAGCTTTTGATTGATCTTGATTTGACCAAACAATTTCACATAGTTTGTAAGAACGGGCGATAAAACTTGATTCAAAACCAAGGTCGGCAAGATGCGGTGATTGAAAGAACTATTCGTTATTTGTGCAATTGAGTAGGGGAGCTGTGCTTGAATGGTTAGGGTAGATGAGGTAGCTGACTATGATTAACACCATTTATTTGCTTCAACGACTTCTTGCAATTTAAGTGGCGAGCTGAGATGGTGAATAGAATACGCTCAGTGCTTTTGGCAGCGGGGATAGGGAACTCTCGGTTAAGCTGATAAGAGGGGAAGGACTGCCGTGATTTACCAACAGATCGAGCGAAGTCGATATCACTTTCTTGAATGAGACCACAGCCAACGTATTGAGCATCCCATACCTTCGATAGTCTAGAGACAGGGGGTCAAAAGTGAAGGTTGTTCGAACATCTGACCTCACAAAAAGTGAAGGTTGTTTGAGGAAGAGCAGAGAAGAGAAAATGGCGTGAAACATAAATGGAAAGCCAAAGAAACCGCTGAAAACCGGACAAAAACCCTGCAAAGAGATCTGAAATCTTTCATTTAGCGGCTTCTCAAGAAGCAAGTTTTCGCTTCAGGAACAGCAACTCGCAAAACGGGGGAAAGCGAAGAAGAGTCAATTCCTTTTTGTGATTGTTTCAAAAAAAACATGTTTCGAAAGGAGTGGTTACCAAGAGGAAGATAAACAAGAAATAAATTAGTTATGAAAACGCAAAGTTTCTTTTTTTACTAAGTTGAAAAGAACGTCGGAGCCAATTTTAATTTTCGATGCGTCCTTTGAACTTTTATCCCACATTGACGTTCCTGTCTCCTGGGAAGTTGTCTAGATTGTTGCGGTTACTGTTCTGAGCAACAATGCCCAAGCTAAAAAAAATCGCTGTGAAAGCAATGAAATAGAACAAGGTAAAGAAAAACGCACTTTTTGCAATTTTTCACTAAAATTTCCACCACAATCGAAGAGGTGAGCATTGAGTGATTGTCCGCATTAGAAACAAAAGCAAGAACTATAGAGTGCACAGAAAAACCGCGTGAAAAGTGTTAAACTAGGAAAAAACATGAGATTTTTGAAAAAAAAAGATTTTTCCGGATTCACCGATCAAATCAAAAAAAAAGTAGTTTCAGGACGTTGTCAGCGTGAAAATAGAGGTCAAGAGCTTCAAATTGATACATAGCTTGCTGAAATTGGGTTCGAAACAGCGAAGATTGGGGTACCGAAGCCTAATGCCCCGCGCCCCGCGTTTGGGGTAGCGAGGTATGCACTCGCCATACTTGATCCGCTCCACTTGATCCGCTTGATCCGCTTCGTTATTGGTCGATTCAGTAAGTTGAGCAATAGCGAAGCGGTTGCCCACTTGATCCGCTTGATCCACTTCATCCACTTCACTATTGGTCTGTTCACTGAATTGACCAATGATGAAGCGGATCAAGCGGAGCGAGTGGATTAAGCGGATCAAGTATGGCGGATGCCGTAGCGCGCAGCGCGCAGAGACGCGGGCGAGCAGCGGAGACAGACCAGAGCCGACGGGCATTTGGCTCTGGTCGTAGATCTCCACGGGGTCTCAACGAAACCTTGCGGCATTATATATCATTCTGATCGTCATGACACGACGAGGAGAACTGACAACGCCCCAAGCATTGAAAATCACTCATCAATGAGATAGATATACGTTTTTGCGCGCGACTCTCTGCACAAATTTGAGCGCAGTTTCTCATTTTTATTCAACTCCAACAGCTTTCCTAAACTTCTGAAACTCGAATTTGGTCAAATGAGAGGTTAACTGAGGAATGTTGTCCTGAATTCTGGCGAAAGTTCATAGAAACTTTCTTTTTAACGTAAAAAAGGCTATGAAAACGCAAATTCTCGGTTTCGCTGGGATAACCTAAAGATATTATTCCCTATATTTGCTTCATTAACATTCGTCCCGATATAGTCAGATGATATAGTCGCCCTCACCCCACTAGTCGGTCGGTGGACGAATTCAAATTTGAATTGGAGCAGGCCTGTTACGGCAAAGCGCGGCAGGAGACAACGCTTAGCAATTACAAAAACTCAATATAGATCAAAAACGTTGTAACAACACAAAAACTGCTAAGCAGTGGCGAAGAAATACGCAAAGTGAATGCGTGAATTTGAGCGGAGAGCTAAGGTGCCGTGTTCGAATTCGAATTCGTCCACCGACCGACTAGTGGGGTGAGGACGACTATAACATCCGGGCGAAGCCTTGGACGACTTCTGTTTTTTCCAGGTGAAGGTTGTGTTCCCTCATAGTCCTCAAAGTGAAGGTTACCAGAGTACGTGTCTCTATGTGTCGAGGGTATGGGGCATACCAACCACCATGGGTCATGAGTACCCGCGGGATGAGGCTGCAAAGGCGCGACGCAAGCAGCGAAATTAGTACCCGAGTGCGAAAGTCTGCTGGTAGATCTGGGTTAAATTATCGCTTCTTTCCTTTTTGCTAGTTTGTAAAGAAACTTCTCTCGCGTATCTGTCGAATTTCACTTCATACTTGATTGCCTGTTGGAACATCTTGTTCTCCACATTTCACGTTTTCTTCCAAATCGGTAATAGATAATGCAGCTTTGTATGACTGTGACTCGAATTGAACACTTTGATTATATCATTTTTGAGATTAGAAGACTTGAGAACGTTGCACATGTTGTTTAACAAACTTGAACATGTTCCTCCTTCAATCTCTAGTAGCAAACCAACCAAATGGGGTTAAAAACAATAACATTTTCTCCTCAAGCTTGTGCAAAGCGTGCTCGAGTCTCCTCAGCTCAGAATGGATGATGATTTTCTGCTGTGCATGAGCAAAAGATGTGCTTCACCTTCCCTGCTTGAACACTCTTCATTCGAACAACGCCACCACCTGAAATGGTTAGTAGTCGATAGTCGATACAAGCACGGAACCTGATGCCTAACAAGAGAATAGAAGGTAAACGCCATGACATAATGAACGCCATGACTCCAAAAACAAGGCTAGCTTTCGCGCTCAAGTCCAATCTCCTTCGCTCGCGTCGTGCGCGCTGCCTCATCCCCTGGTACTGTACCACGACCGATGATGGCTGGTATGCCCTATACAAACAAGCCTTATCAAATGCAGTGTCGAGTGCATCAGCAACTCTACTCCGGCGCTGGACTCTGCGTCTCTTCCACGAACTGCTATCTAATCACTTCCAATCGATTGAGGCTCTGCCTTTCTCACGCTCGCCCTGGGAAAGTGATCAGAGAGCATGTTGGCGGAAGAGACGCAGAATCCAACGCGGGAGTGGAGATGCTGAAGCACCCGACACTGCAGTTGATAAGCCCTATATAGGATACTTTTGAGAAGACTAAGTGGAAAATTCGTCTACAACGTTTCTGAGTCTCTTAATAGTTTTATGTTAGTTTTCATCAACAGACAAATAGATTTTTATGTGATTAGCATCGATATACAACAAATAAAATAATTCATAAGGCGAACGCGTTCAGTTCGAACAAAGAACACAAAACATAAACATATAGAGTTGGGGGAAGTTACGAGAGAATTTACCCCGATGAGATACCCTGGAATGCGCGAACACAATTATGAAGTCATTATTATGCAATAAAATAGAAAAAAAAATCAAGTCGTTAAGAAATCATGGGAGCGAGAAGATGGAGAGTGGAGTATATAGGAGCAGCAGAGGTCAAAAAATAGCTCATTTGGATCGTTTGGGTTTGCGACGACTGGTATGTCGGGGCATACGAGCGACTAGTTACTGAATGCGGTAGATTTCAAAGATATATGCACATTTAGGCGCGACGAGACCGGATATGTAGATTTGACGTAGAAAATTTAGTTTGAAAGATTGCGGAAGATGTTTTGGGACCATTGAGATACGGATTTGTACAGTATACTGCAAGAGGATGAGAGCTATACAGAGACGTCACTGTAGGATCTTTCATGGCTCGTCTGATGGATAGCCGGCGATGTCTCCTGCGACGGTCGTTTGATCATTCGACGAAGCCTGGCTATCTCTTCGTTCGCTCGCTCCAGCTCGTCCGACAAGCAACTTTGCCTAAATTAGCAGAATTATTGGTAGAATACACACTAAGACATAACACAAATCTTTTTACAACTAAAAAAAGACTTTTCATAAATTTGTGGAAGATTTTTCCCATTTTTCTATGTGAAGGGTTGTAGATTTTCGATTTATACATGGATCAGAAAACACGAAAAAGAAGGATGAGTATACGAATGATGTATAAATATGAATCTTGCAGGTGACCTTATTCTAATCAAAAACGAAAGAACAACAAGATTTCTCAGTCAAGTGCTCTACTTCAGCCAAATGCCCTTACAGAATTTCAACGATAGACACACACGTCTTCAAACTAACAATAAGAAGCATCCTAAAACACTTTTAGGGGCGTGGCAATCTGCTGCCCCTATTTCTAGCCGACTGACAGCTACAGTTCCCGCAAGAGTTAAAAAGCATGTCAAAACTTAGATTGTACTCAAAAAGCTTGTGTAGGAGTCAGGGCTCGGCACAGGTGGCTTGTAAGCAAGCTGGGTATCGTTTCTGAGACAAAAAGCAAAGGGGGTTTCGTTTTTGTGACCGAAGAGAGACGCAAAATTGGCGACTCCGATTTGGAGGATTTTGGGGAATTTTTCAGGTTTTTAGAGGAAATTTGGTTGAGGGTCAAAGAGGACTTCGTAAAAATTCCCAAAAGTCAAGGGGGACTTCGTTTTTTCCATTTTCATCTAGCCACCTCGTGCCGAGCCCTACTAGGAGTTGATAGGCATTCCAGACATTTTTGTAGGGATAGCTAACATCACACCCTTCCTCCAGAAAAATCACCCTGCTCCTGCCTCTCCTCTTTCGTTGAGAAATTTTAGCTTATGAAAAAGTTTAGAGGCACCCCAATGAAATTTATTGCAAGACATGGAGATCCTACACTCCTACACCCAAATGAAATTTTGTCCTTTTCTAACAATAAGAAATAAGTTCTCTGGGACCATCACGACCAAGGCTGTACCTACCTTTCTTTCAACTTTTTGATGTCCGTTTTGCACGACACATTCTGCCGCAAAAGGTCTGACTTCTCGCCGCTTAGCCGATCAATGTCCTGTAACGACTATTCCGAAGAAGAGGTAGACTGGACAACAAATGAAAATTAAGATGGTACCATCATTAGTGACTCCAACTTCTTCGCGTCCACAGTATGACAGTCATCTGCACAGAATGTGCAGGATAGTCGAGTCGAAGGCTGGTCAGTTGATGACATCGACTCCTTAAATCAAATTTTTAGTCATGGCCGAGATTAGAGCTCACAAATCTCAAAAATATCTTACCATGCCGGTGTCTGAGTCAATTTCATTCTCAGGAGAGTCATTATCGACTGAGGAAAGCTCCCATTCCAACCTAGAAACAAATATAATTACAGATGCCAAAAATGATTTACAAGCATATTGCCAATACAAAAAATTAGAACTATAGTTCCGCTTCCAAATTGTTGTGACTATTTTATGAATTTCAAAAAAAAATTAATTTAGTCTTGCAAAAATTACTTCCTCTTTTGGCAAGATTTCAGGGCAGCAAGCTCGAAGAAAATCTGACCCTGAAAATTTTTGGAGGGCATAGTCACACTCCTTGTCCTCAAAAAAAATCTTTGTGTTCTCCAAAAAAATCTCCGAGAAAAGCACTGCATGTAGTACTAACTATGGCGCCTGGTGGCCCTAACAGAAACCGCCACAAAAATTGTGGATCTGTGCCAGCCACTACCATATAAGTACAGTAATCATTGCGCCTTGGGCAACCGCTACCAGAATCATTTGCATTAAGAGCCTCGTGAAGCTATCAAACTGTTAATGGAAGATTGCGGTTTCGTTATTCATTGAAGCATTCAAAGGAGAAGGCGCGTTCCTTTTTGTACTACAGTATGCTTCAGCAACTCTGCAAGGCTTGCCACCACCCGCCACGCAAGCAACAGTCCCGTATGGAAAGTTCTGAAACCCATTCAAAGTCCAACGGCTTAATTTGACTTTCCGAATGCAGAATCATTGGAATTCAACCTTGGCTTTTATTTTTTTTTTCATTTTTTCCAAATTATTCATTTTTACCCATAATCTTTACCTTGGTTGCGGGCGACATGAAGGTTTCGCTACCAAATGTCGGTTGATGATTCTCCGCTGAACGCCTCGACTTGGTGATACTGTAGCTGGTAAGGTGTCGTCGTCTGCTTGTGAATCGCTAAATAAAATATTTTCAATTGAAAATTCCAAAGGACTTTTTTTCATTTCAACCTTTGGTCATCGTGAATAGGGCTGTCTCGTCGTAGTGAGCTAGTACCACTGGAGCTGGAACTTTTGTCTCGTTCTGAGTTTGCCGCTCGTTTCGGGACCGAAAATGTTCGTGTTGGGGTTGTCATCGACACTGTTCGAGCCGGAGCGGTCACTTCTTGTGAGACTGATCGGGATCTAAAAATTCGAAAAATGAGAATTTGAGGAAATAAATAAATGCGATCAATCCTAACAAGTCCTAAGACCCAATTTTCGCCAAGAAATTCTACTGTTTACTCTAGCCCGGTACCGTACCCTTTCCGAGCTGACCAATCGCCGTCCTCAAGTACGGTATGGACAAGAGTTTGGAGTTGAGCTTACCAAATGCGCTACTCAGATTTGGACACTGTCCCAAAGCCGCTTGGACGATCATTCCCTCCCCCCCCCCTATCCTCATTCAAAGTACCTAATAAGCACTTTTCATGTCATTTTTTTAGAATGCCGTTTGCGTATATTTCTAACCAATAGCTCCAAAATATACAAAAATGACCAACCTCCCAATGAGCGCCTTTTTCACTGAGCTGAATAGACCACCAGAAGATTCGGTAGTTTCAAGCAATGGTGAACCATAAAACTCAGCACGTCCTTTCAAATTTGTAAAAAGACTGTCCAGCAGTGAGGACCGCGTTCTCTCCTGAAATCAAATAATTTTTGTTTTTCAAATCCCCAAGTAAGATGTTTTTGACGCACAGCCAACTTCGCAAACTTCGCGCTCTTGTACGCAGCATTTTCAGCGTTGATCAGCTTGGTCAGCAAGAAATTTCGAAAGTCTTGCCCTTTCTTGAAAATTGATGGAGCTGGCAATGTTGGGCCGAAGAAGGGCACATCGTCACGTGCAGCCACAGACACCTGTAATGACAGTAATCAGGAAATATCGTTAATACAGAGTCAATCAGTAAGTATTTTCTTTCATGGAACTGTTGTCATAAAAATATGGAAAAGATAGAGTAGAGCAAAAATTCGTCCGGAATGAAAGAGGTTCCAACATACTCTTCGAGAAACCCTCTGCCCCCCCCCCCCCCCTCGAGGATGGGTCGCGAAAATTTCAAGCGTTACTGACGCAGGTCATAAATATATGCAAGCGTCTTGTTCATACTGGTAAGTAACTCAAATGATTTTTAAAATTATGAAAAAAATTAGCCTTGTAAAAATTTCTCGCAGGTTATGTACCCGCAAAAGTTTTGCCCTCCTCCCTCCTAAACGGAAATCCTGGGATCGCCACTGCTGTAAACGTATTTTAGTTTTTCAACCTTTCTTCAGGGGTCTTTGTTACTCAGAAGTGGAAGAGGCGTGGCGCGAGCCAGTTTAATTTTTCGAAGCCTATCCATCTTTTTAGTAATTGATGAAATAATTAGAATTTTATGTTATGTATCTATGTTTTTATAGGTGATGCATGAAATTTTCAAAAATTTTCGTAACCCGAACTCCCCCCTTCCCCCCTTCCCCCCCCCCCCCGACACTGTGTAGGCCACTCAAAAAATAGTTTTTTACACGACCTTACAGCTAAAGTTCTCTAAGCATCTCAACATTCCTTTTTTTGAGTGAATTTTTTGTGCAGCTTTTTTCAGAAATTTATATCTTATGAATTCCGTCAACTTACCCGATATCGGACTTTCTCCGTGAGCGCATCAATCGGTTGCACAACAATGTACGCGTGCAAGAAATTGCTGGCGATCATATCCGGAGCAAACGGGGTGTTTTGCTCCTGGAAGATAATGGCCACGATATCGTTGCCAATGTGCCGTTTTCGCTGCAGTTGCTGTTGATCCCCCAAGGTGTACGGTAACATTGTGGAAACGTGGAACATCGCCTCACGACCACGAAACTCTGTGTACACAGCCTGTAGCCCCGTTTGGCCATGAACGGTGTCAAGTCCACCTCGATAGCCCTGCAAAACATTATATTCTTGGAGGAGCGCACGGGAAAAGACTGGCCCCGTCGTGTGAGCGGGTGAAAAAATAGAGATCCTGCTTGGTGGAAACACGATATGAAAACTCACTGAAAAACCTTGAAGTTCGACCGTTTCGCCTAGGACGTTGAGGAATTCGAGGAATGCTGGACCACCACGAGCGTTGCCGAACAGTTCTTCTTCGCTGATTTGACCTGCTCTTTGGTAGATCACACCAAATTTGTAGGTGTTGGTGAGGACATGCTCATCATATCTGAAATAATAAAATTTGGAATAATTGATAAAGAATCAGCGCTTAATTCCTGAAAATTGTCCATTATGATGTCAAAATACCAAAAAAACGATTTAAGGCTTGCCCAAATTTTTCACATTTCATCTTTTCTGAACTGATGCAGCGTGTAAGCGGACCACCTTTTATTATTGATGAGAACCATATTTGGCTCCACAATGAGATTTTCTTGAATTAAGTCTGAGTGGGAAAAATTAGTGGAACTTTTCCGCCATCAAAATCTTCCTTTTTCCACGAAATACGCTTAAAAATTTTTTACAAACCAAACTCTTATAAAAAAAAACTCACTGCACAATAAGTTCTGATCCTCCTGGGAAAGCGACTGGCGTGAATTGTTCGGTGGTAATCTCTTCACAAAGTAATCGAGCCATACGTGAGGCCGAAGGTCGATCGGCTAGGGCTGAAATTATTTCAAGAATATTTGGAAAAAGTTATGCGACAAATATTTCTTCAAACACCCAAAAAATTCATATTTTTAAAACCCCAAAAATTTCCTTTCGGATCTTTAACTGCTTACGACTGGGCCTGGAAGAGGGTTGCGCCTTTGTTTAAAGGTTTGTTGAAAGGGTAGAAATGCGAAAAATTCCAAACTAGGATTAGAAGGTTTTCAATGGTTCTGAAAACTTTCATAGTGGTCCACATGAGTTGTAGTAACATAAAATGATCTTTTGAAATGATTTTATTCAATTTTACGATCTTGTGGATATTCCAAAACTGAAACTGTGCCTTCTTTACTCTACTTTTTCAAACTTACATGGCCGTAAGCCTACCCATGTGGGTTCCCTTTTCTAAAACAATTTCGCACCAATTACTCAATTCCAACCTGCTAAAGCGCGTTTAGCCAGAGTAATTGGCTTTGCGCAAACTACGCTATAAAATTACAGGAAGCAGCTGCACTATTCCACGTAAATGAGCCTAGAATGTTCCGGCAGATTATAGGTCTGGGATACGGTGTGATTACTCTTTATGTGGCTATAATTCTCGTAATAAACGTGCTCCAATTGGGGATATTAGTGAAGGACTTTCATTGGCATATTTCCAGCCCAGACTTTGACTTTGGCTATGTGCCCATGTCAAAAATTACGAAATTTTAGAGTAAAAAATTCTGAGCATTTTATCCCACATTTCTCCACTAAATCGGCCCTTCAACGCAGAGAAGAAATTTGGAAATGAAGTTCTGCCCAACACCGTACTCTCTTAGAGCGGACCAATCGCGCGTACGGTATGGGCGAAAGAAAAAAATTGAGTTTTTGGCCACTACCAAACTGCTTTTGAGTCTCAGGGTATGAAATGCATAAGATTGTAGTTGAACTAACCACTAGCTGAGATGATCTTATGAGTGGTGCCTTTCTTTGTGCGTAGCATTATTCTAAAGTGGTCCTGCGACGAAATCACTTCAGTCCTCACGGAAAGTACCAGCGGTCCAATGGCTGGATCCATTGCGATAAAGTCATGGTGTTCCTGAAGGGAACCATATGGGTAAATTTACTTGGGTAATTAGTGAAACACTTACTCTTCCGTAGAAGTACCGTCGATAGCAATGGCTGGTCTCATCTGTTTCCAATTTGAATCTGGCGCAACTGTTCGTGTTCACTCCCATGATCTACAATGGAGGATTACGGTGGGTTTATGGTAGATCAGGAAACTTTAGAAATATTAACTGGTCTAATAATCACTTAATTATTAATGTAACATATGCCATGAAATATGAATTTACAAGATAGTTAGTCAAGCCAGCAAAACATGTCTCTACATGTCATAGCAAATTATATTACAGTAGGTATACGGTAATTTTACGGTAGGTCAAGGTACTAACTCGTATGTGAACTGGATAATGGTACCTAATCAGCGTGGTCTCAACAAAATGTTCGATAAATGCAACTAAGCGCACTACGGTATGGATACTGTATGGTTACGGTAACTCACTAAAAACTAAAGTTATGCAAAAGGCAACAGACCTCTTGATCAAGATACATATTGTTCTGACTAACGCCATCCATCCAGAAGCCGGTAGGTGGAAGCACAATTTGCGGGTAGGGACCCGCTCTTTGGAGCATCTGCAAAAAACAGATTATTAGCAAAAAAAAATTCACCGCTTTTCGCAATTGCGTACGGTGGCCTTAACTTGATATGTGCACTACACAACATGCGCTGTTTCACGACATGTGCTCACAATCTACCAGTTTTTAGACTCTCGTCTTTTTTTCCTTTTTGAACCTCAGGAGGTATAAACAGCAACAAGTTAATTTTCTGGTTTTTTTCTACACATCAAAACGGCTCTATAGTCCTTTTACAAATAGGCAGTCATGAAGTCCCGCGCGTAGTGTGCAATCTCACAAATCACATAACAAGTCACTTCTCTATACATACCTCCTTCATAATATCTCTCGTCTGCATACTGTCCCGTTTTCGTTCACCATTTGCACTCTGAAACGTGTGTAATATGAATGAAAGTGAAACTTCAACCCGTGTTTCGTGTCCATTTTTTACCTAACGATTACCCCTGTGAGTGACATATATTTCTCGGGCACACTCACTTGAGCGGAGTTGCGCATCCTTATTATGTTTACTCACTTCACGATGTAATGGTAATAGCATTGGTCTGAGGTAAAAAAATGAGGACCAGAATTTTTTTTTTGGAGTTTGGGAAGGTGTGGAAGGGAATACAGGGTAGAAAGTGGCAAAAATCTTTGAAAAATAGGAGGTAATGACTTTTGGACTTTCAGAAGGTCAGGAAGAACCCATGAAGTAAGAAGATCCATAAAAATGGGAGATGAAATTTTTTTTTTGGAGTACGGGTAGGCCTGGAAGAACCCGTGAAGTAAGACGAACCAAAAACCTCTAAACAATGAAAGATTAAAATTTCTTGGAGCTTGGGAATGTTTGGAAGAAGCCATAAGGGTAAGAAAAGCCAGAAGCCCTTACCGGGATATCCTGAAGCGAAACCGCACTGCAGGTAGATGATATCAGAATAGGTGAAGAGACGAGATTATTCAGCGACCTCTCAGAGCCCCTCTTCTTCAGAATATGCCCCAGTAGATCAAACGCCGACCTCCCATGGGGTAACCGCCTATGCGCCGACGTTGGTAACGACTCGGTGGAGCCACGGAACGGCATTGACTCGGCTTTTTTCAGATTTTCCATTGCTTCGATCAGCTTTCCGGCGGCCATTACTTTGAACTCGTTCTCCGAACTCATAAGTGTCGTTGAGGAAAGCCGCTTCGATAGCGGTGCCGGCTGCGCGACTTCCGGAGCGGAAGCGCCAGCCTCACGGACACAGTCCATGGATACGGCGCGGTTAGGTGGTGCATACTCGGCAAAAGATTCGCGGAAGGGCTCACGAATCGGCGCCAAAGAGGGCGCGAGTCGCGTACGACGCCTTGTGCCATATTTAGAGGTCGGGTATTGCTTTTCCATACCAATCACGTTGCGATTGTCACCAATTTCGGACTCATCCTCGCTATCGATGAATCTCATCCGACGTGACGGAGATGACGGTTCTGCTATGGGAAAAGCCGCATTAAACCATGGCGGATACGGTACCGACATAGAAAATCAGCGAGTATGGGAAATTTTCAGAAAATTTCGCTAAAGATGAGGTGACAGACTGGAGCGACGAGGTTGGGATTGTACGATGTGAACAATCTCATGCACAGAACTAACGCGATGTAAAGGTGTACAAATATGAGGCTAGAGTGACGCGAAAATAGCACGCGAATCGAGGAGACAACGAACGAGGGCTGAATGGAAAGGGATGGGATGACACGAGGCACTCACTCTGAGTGAGGCTGTTACAATATGTATGTGTGGAAATTTTTAGGGCAAAAGGTATGGATTTAAGGGAGGGGGGGCTAAAGTTAGCGCTTTGGCGAAATGATGAGCTGGCTTTGACTCTGAAACGGGAAAATCTGCACAATTTCGATGTGGCAATGCTTCTCCAGTTAATCAGATGCGTTGAGAGAGCGGCAGCACAGCACATAATGTGAAAAGCAATTCTTGAATAGATAATGTGTTTCTAACGGAATGACATATGCAAAAGATTTTTGCTTTGATTTTATTAATAGAAATTGAGTTTATTTATAGAAATTTTTGCAAAAAAAATAAAAACAAAATAAGCAGAATTTTTTAGCAAACTTTCCCACAATGATTAGGAAAGGCCAGAAAAAATTTTCTTTGATTTTATAGCGATTCTACACTTACAAAAATATGTATAAATATTATTTCATACTATGATTCATATTTTGGAATTTTTTTATTTTCACAGTTACACAATTTTGCAAACATAGCAGGTTTTTTCTTGAATTCAAACCGTACTATAATTTCCCGTTTCTCATTTTCTACTAATTTGATTGCAGAAAATCCTAAAATGTTGCTATCTTCATGAGAAAATCTTAAATTGTTGTTGTCAATAATTAGGCTTTGTAGTTAATAAACTGCGCAGGATAATTTTGAGAAAATGGAATTTTTGCAGAAGGAAAGTTATGGGACGAGCTCGTACGAAAATAATAATAAAATAGTAGAATAAAATAACAAAATACGAAAAAAATGGCAAAAAATAGATACTTCTCACTAGTAAATGTAACATGTTGCCCATTAAATCAATACTTTTACAGAAACTTCAAACTGATCATAGCCAAACCAAACAATAAGCTTGGATAAAGAGGTTTAGAAGCTGGATAAAACTTGGTCTTCATTTCATTAGCCGATTTGATGAGTCAGTGGCAAAAAATTCGATCTTTTAGTCTTAGGAAAACGGCTATCGATCCTTGGCGTCCAGATGGGACTTATAAAAATCTGAATAATAAAATTTATATGATTAACTTCTTTAATTTTCCGCTGAATCTCAGCTTCGATAGTTTTGATATGAAAAAAACAGAAGTCCCAGCAATTGCAATTAGTTTTCGCCTAAGAAAAAAAAACAAACAGAGATGGGGTAAACTTCGAGTTTCTTGACATACTTTTTTTAGGCTATTTCATACATTTTGGTAAAAAAATATAGAACCAAAATTTCGCCATTATCCTAAAAACTCCGAAAAAAAGAGAAAAATCCCAAAATTCCAAAAATTGATGACGCATAAGACAAAGAATATCATTTCATTGTCCAAACCACGCATTCTCTCTTTGATGCACAATGACGTAGCGATTCTGTTTGCGTAAGCTTACGAATCATGATGCCAGAGCTCTTTGATGACGAAAAAATTGAAAAATTACGATTAGCAGCTGTTAAAATAAATCGAATAATTTCCGCCAGCGAGTCATCATGGTTTAACAGCGAAAAGAAAATTGCCAAATGGACATGTGAAACGCTCATTCATTACAATTTTCGGTCGGAAGTCATTCAATCAATTTCGATTTGAGCGCAAAAAGTGCACAATTCTATAACAAAAGCGTTCGATCTGAGGGGTGAAATGATATGTAAAATAAAATTATCCTTCAATTTTAGTACATTTAGGGAAAGGGCATGGTTGAAATAAACGAAAGTCCATAAAAAGAGGGATACCAGGGGATTTGTTACCAGCGCATCCAGCAGAACTGACAATTACCAAGCAAAGCTATGGAAATTGCTAGCTTCTAGGAACATTCTGGAATGCAGAAAATGCAAGGAAAGAGAAAAGCGCTTTTCCCAGAGTCATAGATATCTGTACACAAACAGATATTGCAATAACATTTATTGATACGAGCTGTGTGAGGTCTGAACACAATAGGATTCGAGCGCGAAATCTACACAAAAAGCGTTTTATATGAAGTTTTGAAAAAGAGATTGCCGTATCAAGTTTTGAAAAAGAGATTGCCGTATCACATGATCTAGCTATTTCTATACCGGATATGGGCTGGGTAAGCAAATGCATGAGGGTTCAGGCTAGGGGTGAAGTCAAAATGATTTTGATACCATTTTTTTTACAAGACAATGCTTTGGATGAGATTTCCTTTTTTCGTTGATGATATTAATTCTGGATGATCGGAACCTGTTATGATTTTTTGCACATATACCAGTGAACCAGTAATTCAAAGGAGCTAGAGTTGCAGGCGCTCGCTTTGGGACCCGCTCGGTTTCCCGCTATCTGATGATTTTTTGAATGCACTTTACGATTCTTTATATATTGGATACTTTTGGTGAAGAGGATACCATAAAAAATTCCGCTTGGACAAATTTGTTCTAATTAAGTAGCTGTATTGACGATAGAACCTAAGAAATTCTGACTTTGCACTTTCCAAAGTATGACTGTGATTCGTAGTCCTGGCACGAACATCAGAAAATTCCGCACAGAAAAATTTTTTATGAAAGGAATATTTGTGGTATCTTTTTGAAAGAATTTTGTGTTTCAAGGGCTCATGAAAATCAAAAGAAATGTTTCATTTACTGTTTGCAAGTTTACAGTTGTTTAAAAACTCCTAAACGGCATTACTTTAGAAATTCCTGCGTAAAAATCCGTTGCAGAATAAGATCCAAATTTTCACTTAGAAAATAAATCGAGGTATTCCCATAAATTTCGGCTGGACTTACTCCTTTTGCATTCACATTCCTTCACAATTACTGGAATTTTCCAGAAAGTCCATAGCAGATTTCTTGAGGTTGGATTTTACGATCGTCTAACCAAAACCCAACGAATAAAATTATCCAGAAAATAAAAAAAATTTTTTTACCAATGAGATACTTTTTTTATACTTTGGTCAAATGAAATCTATAGCCTTGCCGTACTGCCAACAATCGTTTCTCATAATAACATCGCATTTCTGAAAGCGGGGGAATGAACCTCTCCCCCTCGCTCTCCTCAAGGGTGTAATGGTTATTGTTTGCAATGCACATTGACGAGATTCAAGGACAAAATCATCGAGCGGAGAGCACCAGATGTGTGTGCGAACAACTACTAATAACAGGCCTCAGAGTTAGCGTAATGTGCAGCGAAAAGAAAGCTGCTCGGATTTGCAGAGGCAAAGGTTGTACTGAGGTGTACTGCAGGGTGATTGAAGAAATGGAGGACAAGGGCATAGGGCTAGGTTATAAACGTGATTCTATGACTTTGCGGCTATCGCTTCAGGATGTTACCATGTAAAAAGAAAGCATTAAATCGGTATGAAATCGCTAGTAAGCGGCAGCCTTGACAGGCGATGCAACGGTTTTAATGATGATGGTGGTGATGATGGATTGGCAGGGTTGGTGGTGATGATGGTGCTGGTATGAGCAGAAGAGTTGGATGCTCGGCCGAGTAAGGGAAGCTACAAAGGGGCTTGAAGAAAGAGGACAAGAGATATAAACTCAATTTTATTAACCGAAATTATAACCTCAGAATAAGCGTGGGTGAAAGGGAGGCATTATAAAGGAGCGAGAGAGTAAAGAGTAGAAGCAGGACACAAGTGGCAGCCTATCCATGGGGGTAGTGGTGATGCTGGTGATGGTAGTAATGGGGCAAAGATAATGGTGGGATGATGGTGGTGATGGTGGTGAAGTTGGTGTTGGTGACGATGGTAATGATGGTGATGTTGTCGAATATGGTGGTGATGGTGGTGATGATAGTGATGAAGGTGTTGATGGTGATGATAGTGATGATGGTGAAGGGGTTGATGGTGATAATGGTGATAGTAGTGATGATGATGGTGATGGTGATTGAGGTGATGTTATTGGTTATGGTAATGATGTCCGGAAGAGGTGATGAGGTGGAAAGATTACTAGCTTGTTTTTCAAAAGTGTCGGTGATGATGGTGATAATAGTGATAACCGTGGTATTGGGATGATATGGTGATGGTGACTACTGGTAATGGGTAATGGTAATGATGGTGGTGATGATGGTGATGGTTTTGGTGGTGGTGATGCTATTTGGCTATCATCATTTCTGTTCACTTTTTTCTAATTTTTCTAAAGAATTTCAGAAGAATCCTGGAAGCCTTTTGACCCTGCCCGTATGTCGAGAGCATGAGGTCTTCCCGTTCTGAGATTTCTAAAAATTAAAATGAAAAGTGTAACAGAATATCCGACAACCTAATAGTTTTTCGGCAAAAGGAGTTCTCTGCTCGGCTTTGCAGGGGATTGTACTATGGTCTACTGCAAAGGGGCTTAAAGAAAAGAAGGACAAGGGCATAAAGTTGGGTTATAAACGTGATACTATGACTCGAGGCTATTACTCCGGATATTACCGCAGGTAAAAAGAGAGCATAACAGAAAGAAGCGCTCAAAAGTCGGACAGCCGAGCGGTGGCAGAGTCGGTGTAGTTTGGCGGCAAGCACAACAAGGGCTAAGAGAATAAGACGACAATAGCATAAAGCTGGGTTATAGATTCTATGACTCGAGGCTATTACTCCAAGATATTGTCAAGGTAAAAAGGAAGTACCACATCCGAGTGAAAGCGCTAGTAAAAGCCGCCCAGCCGTGGCAGCCATGACATGGCGGGGCAGCGAAAGCACATCAACGAGCGGCTCTACGAAATGACGATTATCGCCGAGGAATCTCTCTTCATGATCAACGACTCGCGCTTTGATGAATGAGTGTGCGGTTAGCCAGAATTAGCTGCTGCTGTGTGTGTGGAACATGTGGACCCCGAACGAAGTGCAAT